AGGGAGATGGAGCAATAAAGAAGGGTGTCCTCCATACAGATGGCTAACAAACACATGAAAAGATGCTCAACATCACTCATTATCAGAGAAATGCAAATCAAAACTACAATGAGGTACCATCTCACGCCAGTCAGAATGGCTGCTATCAAAAAGTCTACAGACAATAAATGCTGGAGAGGGTGCAGAGAAAAGGGAATCCTCTCACACTGTTGATGGGAATGCAAACTAGTACAGCCACTATGGAGAACAGTGTGGAGATTCCTTAAAAAACTGGAAATAGAACTGCCATATGACCCAGCAATCCCACTGCTGGGCATACACACTGAGGAATCCAGATCTGAAAGAGAGATGTGTACCCCAATGTACATCGCAACATTGTTTACAATAGCCAGGACATGGAAGCAACCTAGATGTCCATCAGCAGACGAATGGATAAGGAAGCTGTGGCACATATACATAATGGAATATTACTCACCCACTAAAAAGAATGCATTTGAATCAGTTCTAATGAGGTGGATGAAACTGAAGCCTATTATACAGAGTGAAGTAAGTCAGAAAGAAAAACACCAATACAGTATATTAACGCAAATAAATGGAATTTAGAAAGATGGTAACGATGACCCTATATGCGAGGCAGCAAAAGAGACAGAGAAGTAAAGAAAGGTCTTTTGGACTCTATGGGAGAAGGCGAGGGTGGGATGATTTGCAAGAATAGCATTGAAACATGTATATTATCATATGTGAAACAGATCACCGGCCCAGGTTCAATGCCTGAGACAGGGTGCTCACTGGTGCACTGGGATGACCCAGAGGGATGGGATGGGGAGGGAGGCGGGAGGGGGGTTCAGGATGGGGAACACATGTACACCTATGGCTGATTCGTGTCAATGTATGGCAAAAACCACCACAATATTGTAAAGTAATTAGCCTCCAATTAAAATAAATTCAATAATTTTTTTAAAAAAGAAGAGACCAAACACCACACCGTTGTTCATCCACACCCTTCCCCTGCACTTCCCCTAGAGTGACCATTCACGACAGAACTGTGCTCACAGTGCAGTGTGGAAAGCAAACCACAGATAGCTGATAGCTACACATGCATGATTGTTTAGCTTGGTACCTACCTGCTTGACAATAATGATACAGCTTTTAGCATTCTGCCCTTCATCCAAAATCAGAGTTGTTTTTGTCAGTTCACTTAGGTGCCATGAAGCAAAGCCCTTACTCTCCAAGCTGCTTTAGGTCCACTCCTCAGTTTTAAGTTACAACCATCCAATATTGATGTCTCACATAGATTTCACCCAATTGGAGCTTTCCTGATTGTTCAAGACAAATGTACCGGAGAGACTTGTAAGACTCCCTTATTCTCTCATTGGATAGTGTTCTCTCAGGAACAAACTGCTGTCTTACTGCACCTGAGGCATCCTGAGATTTCTTCCCTCTCTGTGCCAGGCAAAGGCCAGAAGGACTGCACGGATTTCACTTTACAATAACCAGGAGAGCATGCTGAAGGCTTCAGCAGCCACATCAGACACAATCAAATAGAAAGTTAAATATCCAGTCAGTGACTTACAAGTCTTGTCATGCTCTTTAATGGATTTCGGGTAAGCAGCTGGAGAAGGACCAAATGTATTGCAAATAGGTTTTTAACTTAAAAAAAGTATGTTGTCTGAATTCTCAGTGCTCATTACCTTGAATGCATATCAACCTTGGCCTGTCAAATTGTCCTCAAGTTTTCCTTCAGTCTAACTTTCAGCAAAGTAAAGATCACAGAGTATACTACCCTCATGTACAAAAATGAGGGAAAAAAAGTACTGACAGAAAACAAAGCAAAGACTTACTGTGCTTTTCTTTTTAGATCATGAGTTCCATGAGGTCACTGATTCTTTTTCAATCCTAAATTCCCCAACACCCAGCCCCATGACTGCCTGGCTGTGGCAATAATAATTAAGCGTAATACAAACATATACTGAATGTGTTAATCAACTCAGGCTGCCATTATAAGATACCGTAAAGTGGGTGCTTTAAACAACTAGAGATCTATTTCTCACACTTCTGGAGACTTTCCGAGAACATCCTTCTGGCTGATTCAATTCCTGGTGAGGGCTCCCTTCTTGGCTCACAGATGACTGCCTTCCTGCTGTGTCCTCACATGGTAGAGAGAGAGACAGCAAGCTCTCTGGTGTCTATCTTACAATAACACTGATCTTGTTAGATCAAGGCTCCACCATATGACCTCATTCAACCTTAATTACCTCCTTAGAGGCTCTGCCTCTAAATACAGTCATGTTTCAGGTTAAGGTTTCAACACAGAAATTTTAGAGGGAATTCAGGCCAGAGCATTAAGCATGTCTTTCCAATTAGCAGATGTGTGTAAGTAGCACACATTATCTCAGTTAGTCCTTATAGCAGCACATAGCTTAAAAAGGAGACTAAAGCTTAAGAAGCTGGGCATCCAGCCCCCATCTCTTCCCTGTACTTCAGACCGCTCTATCCACCTACCATGTAGAAATGTCCCAGAGCCCTCAAATCAATGATGCCAATGATGTCCACCCTGATTTCACATTCTTTTCTCTTCTCCATTTAACCTGTTTGTTCCTTGCGCCCATTTCAACTCGATACCATCTTCTACCCAGTTATGCAATCAAGGTACCCGTTAACTTTAAGTCTTTTTTCTGCCTTGTCACCCACATCAAAGCTATCCTAATGATTTTTATCCATCGAAGATTTCTTAAAAGCATTCCCTCTCCATGACTTTTAGCACTTCTTGAGAACAGAACTTGTATTTATTTCCCTTACTTCATTTTTCACAGTCTAGGTTATAATAGCCAAGCACTTAAGCATGACATACAAGACCTTCGATGAGCTGAGCTGTCCCTGGGTCTACCTCTCCTGACTTCTCTCCCTCTGCATCAATCTTGTAATTTACCAAGAAATTCAACAAAATTTAACTTGCTACACTGCTGCATGGCCCTGTCTCCATAGCATACACTCTCTGCTCTGCCTAGAATACAGTTCTCCATTTTCTCTCTCTCCAATCCATCCCTAACACTTCTCTTCCTCACTAGCACTTGCCTTCCAAGATTTAGTTCAAGCATCACCCTTCCTAAGATGCCTTCCCACACTCTTCCAGCTTGAAGAGCTTCCACTCTTCAGTGCCTCCAAAGCATTCCATGTTTATCACCAGCACAATGAATTTCACACTCCAGTAAAATTATATATTTATCTATTGGCCTCTCCCAAGTAATAAGCTCCTTAAGGCAAGGGCTGCTCACAGTAGATGCTCAACTTGATTACTCTGCGTGTTAAATATTAGTGGTAAATAATTTTTGGATATGTCTACAGACCTCTATCCATCCTAAAGGAGATCAGTCCTGGGTGTTCATTGGAAGGACTGATGCTGAAGTTGAAACTCCAATACTTAGGCCACCTCATGCAAAGAGTTGACTCACTGGAAAAGACCCTGATGCTGGGAGGGATTGGGGGCAGGAGGAGAAGGGGACGACAGAGGATGAGATGGCTGGATGGCATCACCAACTCAATGGGCATGAGTTTGAGCAAACTCTGGGAGTTTGTGATGGACAGGGAGGCCTGGTGTGCTGCGATTTATGGGGTTGCAAAGAGTCAGACACGACTGAGCAACTGAACTGACTGAACTGACTGACTGACAGACCTCTAAGTACCCTGGACATCCCCATATGATCCTTTCTCAGTCATCTGGGATGTTGTGCTATGGCCAGGATGTTTTAATGTTCAACCACATAGCAATGTTGGTTGCTATCACCAAGGTACAGTCTGATATGACAGCATCCATTGCAGTAAGAGTTAAAGGAACAGAAGATCTAAACAAACTAAAGTTAGCTATATCTTGTTACTCAACACAGTCTAAGTATTGGCAAGACAAATCTCTCAGGCAGGCACAGTGCTGACCCAGCATGGTGAAAAGGAACTGAACTAATACTCAGCAGACTCAGAGAAGAAAACCTGCAATATCCGTAACACAGGAAATTCTGAGTTCTGCTGATTCATCCTGACTTAAAGCTGCAATTACACTTGAGTAAGGAGTACCCAAGCTGACTCTGCATTTTTTTTTTCTGCAGAGCTCTCAGAATTTGGCACACAAGAAATTTAATAGTTGTTCTTTTAGAGTCTTTTGCAATTTCTCAGATATTGAACTGTGGTCACCTACATTGCAGTGTCTGATAGCATTACGTGGTATCTTTCTGGCAAAAATGCAGTCTTAGTCAAAATACTGATGAGAGTTTAAGATATTGACTGGAGCTTCTCAAACTACAGAAAACCATGCAGGAATGCTCCTTCACCAAAGAAATATTCGCTGCTGGCTCAGTTAGAGACTGAGGAGTTCTGCTGAAGGCAGCAGCTCTTGTTCATGCTTTGAACAAAGACATCTGGGCAACTGGTTCCAACTTGAGAAATAGCATTTAAATATCAACATAAACACATGCTCAGGGGAGAATCGGGTATATCTTCATCAGGATCAAAATTTCTAAGAAAGTGTCTTAGAGCAAATTAGGAAGCAAAGAACATTCTCAAAATAGGTACTATTTGCAAGTCGTCATTTTCTTTACTCTTCATACAGAAGTCATGTATGATGCTTCTGCATACTGAAAGGTCAAGTGGAATTTCTAGACTGAAGTCCAATTATACTTGAGTCAGTAACTTATCATGCTTGCTATATATATATATAGTGAAGATTACAGTTAGCACTTAATTAGCTAGCATCACTTCAAATATTTATCCCATTTAAAATCACATTTAAGTACTCCATTTGAGAGTTTTAATACATTAAATGTCTCTTCTTTCAGCAAAAGAAAAGAATTAACTTCAGGCTTTATATTTTTCTTTAGGTTCTATATGACATATAATTAGCTAAAAAATATCAGTTGTGTCAACAAAAGATATTATTTTGACAAAACTATTATCATGAAGTAGAGTTTTATTGCAATTATTTCTTGACAAGATCATAATTAAATACTTACTTGTTCAATGTGAGGTCAAGAATGAATTTGGAGCCAAAGGCTTCAATCTGGAAGCTTGCCTGGGCCAGATGGACAGCCTATGGATTCAAAAAGACAGAAAGAAACTTAGTTTACTTTCATATCTTTAAAGCTGATTATATTGATATCAAGAATGATATTTAATAAGAAGAACATTCTATGGACTGATTCTTTTTTTATGGATCCTTATATAATAATTCATTTCTTTAAAAACAGAACAGGTGTATCATCATGGTTTTACTTGGAAGGCCTAAAAATCTGTTGGGCAAGAAACTAATAAAAGTCCTTTAAAAAAGAATCCATCTTGATAAAAATTAAGAGCAGATTCAACTGAACTTTCAAAGTGACTGTGATGAATTATGCAAAAGTCTGACTAATTAAAGCTTGATTTCAGCCTATTTTGTGCACAAAGCTAACCAATTCTTTCTGCACACCTAAATGAAAACTCATGTCAGCGTTCTGCTCTTCATCAGGAATTGGAACTTTCTCTAAATGAATTATCAGCAGAATGTCCCAGTAAAAAAAAAAACCTTTCAATTTCAGAAAGCACATCAAACCAGGCCCTCTGTGGATACTGAGAGTTTCTGTCCCCTTTTGAAGTCACACATTTACAAATACTGTCCTCATTGTGATTTAACCCAAAATGTAAAGATAATCTCATCTCAACATGAGTTTTACATTCTAGGTATTAAAGGGGCTTCCCAGCTGGTGCTAGTGGTAAAGAACCCACCTGCCAATGCAGGAAACATAACAGATTCAAGTTCAAGTCCTGGAACGGGAAGATCCCCTGGAGAAGGGCATGGCAACCCACTCCAGTATTCTTGCCTGGAGAATCTCATGGACAGAGAAGCCCAGCGGGTTATGGTCCTAAAGATTAGAATAGCTCACAGAAGCATCTTGAATAATATAAATCAACAAATCAATGAAGTTTTGTTAAAGTATTATCTAAGAAAAAACTCTCCTTTGTCACCCTATCAGAAAAAAAAGAACAAAGATAAATGTAACATAACCCCCCGCCTTGTTCACAAACATCCTTCCTCCAGACTTCATTCTTAAGGCACAGTGGGTGTCATCTATGAAGTGTTACATGCATAGCAACCAGATACTTTTCACTCCCACTCTCCTCAATGCCACTGCTTGTTCCTCTTGCCTTCCTCCTCCACTTCCCATTATCAAAATCCTACTCTTCCTTCAAGGGCAGACCAATGACATTACTTTCCAGTAAGCCTTCTTCACACACACCTGCTGGGAATGAACTTGAGGCTTCAGAAGCACTGTGCCCTCCCTCCACAGTGATGGATGATCACTTTCCATTATGGATGGTTTGCTTCACAACTGATATCACAGGGGTCTTGCAAACATCTGTATATTAACCATCCTTCCCCAAAATATATGAACTTTCAATTAATTAACCAAATATTTATAATCAGGACTATTTTGTCATGCCAAATCCATAAAATACTACAAGTAAACCATGATTTCAACTTCTTGTCAAGCATAACTGCTGATCTGACAGCCACTCAATAATCAGCAAATAAAATTAAGAGGAAAGTAACACATTAAATTTTCAATACAGAACAATGAGAAGGTGCCTCAATCCCTAATACCCTGGGATATCATGTCAGACCCCATACAACCATGTAGAACAGGGTCATTATCCCTGATTTGAGCTTCCTGTATTCAGACAACTCCTTGAGAAATTTCTACCTTGTCAAGTGTGGTCTCTGTCATCTGCAGCAAAACCTCTATTCACCTAATATAACTATCACAAAGTCTTTCATCTAAATTCATTTTGTAAAAAAAAATAAATAAATTCATTTTGTGTCTTGAAGCACTAATTTCTGCATGAAAATTTTTACTTGATGAATAATTTGTATAGGGGAAAATTTTTCATCTCTGGGCCCCAAAAGCTTAAGAAAACAGCTTTTTTTCCTGGGAATAAGACACGTCCCTTAGGCATACTTTCTCTTAAGAATATTAAATAGTAGAGAAGAGTTCATTAAAGGCACTCTGGCTTAAAAGAGCTGCTAAATGTACTTGTCTGAGCATCTTTATAAACAAGAAGATACTGTGGTAAAAAGAAAATAGCTATACATAAAACAAAAACTACACATAGGGACTTCCCTGGTGGTACAGTGGATAAGAATCTGCCTGCCCACGCAGGGGACATGAGTTCAATCCCTGGTCCGAGGAGATTCCACATGTGGCAGAGCACTTAAGCCTACGCACCACAACCACTGAAGCCCATGCGCTCTAGAGCCCGGGCTCCACAACAAGAGAAACCACGGCAGTAAGAAGCCTGTGGACCACAGGGAAGAATAGCCCCAGCTCACCGCAACTAGAGAAAGCCAGAGCGCAGCAAGACCAGCACGACCGAAAATAAACAACTGTTTCAGTACTGAAGGAAAAAACTAAACATAAATCATGACGTCGAAACAAACGGTGCAAAACTTCCAAATGAGTATTCCAAGGAAAAGCGCTTATAATTCAAGCTTAGATAAATCTCTGTATGTCTGTAACTAATCTACAGAACCTGCCAGTGACCCAGCAAAAGACTCATTTTATAGCAAATAAGCACTGAGACAAGTACAAACCCCAAGAAAACTCTGTTGCAAAATAATGTAGCCGGGTAATAACTGCTCATGTGAGTGCGTGTGTGTTAGTTGCTCAGTTGTGTCCAACTCTTTGTGACCCCATGGACTAGAGCCCACTAAGCTCCTCTATAGCTGCTTACTCCATTTTAAAGAAATTATTGAGAGTCAGACAATTTGATCGTTGTTAAGTAAGTTTATACTGAGTCAATGTGGCAAGTTTCAGTTTAACAGAATTTAATGAAAAACCTGGCAAGTAATATTAATACTGGGATTTTCCTTTATTTTATTTAGTCCTTATACACACAGGTGTTGAGTCCCACCCTATGTAGAAAGATGGCTGGGACACAGCCCAGGCTCAAGAAAGCAGCATCTGTCAGAGAAGCAGGCAGGGCTCTCAACCTCCACCTGTCTAAGGAGCCACAGGGACCAAGGCTTCAGTGACAAGGTGCAGTTTGAACAAAGTTTTTAAAAGTGAGTAAGAATCCACCTGCCCGAGGACCTACTGTATATAGCACACGGAACTCTGCCCAGTGTTATAGGGCAGCCTGGGTAGGAGGGGAGTTTGGGGGAGAATGGATACATTTATATATATGGCTGTGTCCCTTAGCTGTTCACCTCAAACTACCACAACATTGTTTGTTAATCAATATGAAATAAAAAGTACCTTTTAAAAGTACCTATATTTGCCTATATTCAGTGTGAGTAGCCAATTCATTGGAAAAGACCCTGATGCTGGCAAAGATTGAAGGCAGGAGGAGAAGGGGGTGACAGAGGACAAATGGTTGAACGGCATCACTGACTCAATGGACATGAGTTTGAGCAAGCTCCAGGAAATAGTGAAGGGCAGGGAAGCCGGACTGCTGCAGTCCATGGGGTCTCAAAGTGTCAGAACACAACAGAGCAACTGAACAACAATAAAAATAAAATTAAATGCTACAGATAGAAAAAGTAAAAAGAATCCACCTGCCTGGAGAAGAAAAGATATTCAGGGCCTGGGGGGAAAACAATTATAAAAATAGAGTAAAAAAATTAACGTGGAAAGCAAACTTTAAAAAAAAATTTTAATGAAATCGCCTATAGGAAAACAGCTTTTGGGGGAAACATTGAACAATGAATCTGAAAAGGTGGGCTGTGGAGCTTTGAATGATGTGCTCAGTGACGCGTCTGCTCACATATACATGTGTACACGTGGCCCGGACAGAGACCTTTCCTTTAAATGTCCCCACACTTACTCAGCAGAGTGTCTGGCATATGCCATCATCATCATCATCAATACCAACCCTAGGATTCAAACATGTTGACAGACTCCTCTTCACAACAAATGAAACAATTAGTACGACAACACCAAAAACATTTCTGTTTCTCCATAGGAAAAAAAAATTTTATTTTGTTACCTTTATCAGGAAGACTGTTTTAACATCTAAATTCACTTTAATGCTGAGAGGGAGCAAATTTTCCTATAAAATGACTTAAGATTTCCTTAAACATTCATCTTCGTTGCATAGATAGCAAATGGAATTAGTACATTCATCTAAAATATCTGTACCCATTTGAAGTAATTTCAATACAGTGGTGTATATTATTTTTCTCATACTCTCTTTCCTTTGCTATACATTCTGCCTTTGTACACAGAGAACAGATTCTTCTCTAGACCAAAATAAATACCTGACAAATGCTACTTTTCCCTATCATTCTGTTATTTCTGCTCTGTCCTAGACATGATTAAAATGGGCTTTAACTTTTGGAGTCTCTATGCTATTCCACATCAATTGATCATTTTTTCTTCAACAAAATACCAAGTATATATGTATAGTTTTGATAATAGTCAATTTTAAATATGTTTTCAAATCAGGTAAAATGAGTCATTATTTTTACAAATTACATTTGTGGATACTGTTTATTTTTATTTCATAGTAACCCGATTCTTCCAAAAGATTTAAAAAAAAATTAGAAGAATGGCCAGGACGGGTAGAAAATTTTTATAATACGTGGCCATATTGCTTATAGCTTATTAAATATTTCCAAGTTAACTGACCAGCACCACTGAAACCCGCTGAAAATACAAAGACTGCCTCAAAGAGCATTGCTCAAAGGAGGACCTGCACAGTGAGGCTGAGAAACACGTTCAATAACACAGAACCACAGAAATCTTCAGAGAAGGTGCCTGAACCACCCATCAGGTCATAATGGGTTATTTTCTCCATCAGGATATCTGCTAGACAGATTCAAAGATTAACACTTGTTTTTACAAGCCCATCACTATAATAGCACTGTGGAAGAACACAGGGTTTCAGAGTCAAAGAGCGTCATTTCACGACAAGAATAAGCACAACCCTGGGCTCAGAATTACCACCCTGAAGGACTGAGCGCAGCTGTTGCCTAAGCACTTTGGTATTTTTCTTTTGATTCAGAATCTGGCACAGGGAAATTACAGGAGCCCAGTAAACAAAAACAACTAAACTCAA